TAGATCTTCACACATATGGTGGTAAAACTAGAAGAAAAGAGATCCCAGTTATTTTACCTTATAACTTCCAATACACGCACGATGTGCACACTTCCAAAAAATCTTCTTATTATGTATGCTTCGTATATTGAACACACAAATTGGCTTGAGCAAGATTAAAATTTGGAGATGAAATCGACGATAATTTGGAGGATCTCTTGCGGCTTCTCTTGGTTAATGAAGTGAGCCACTCCTTCCATGACCACAGGCTCTTCGAGCAAAGGCACATCTGCTTTAAACTTGGGACCGTGTATGTATTCCTTCACACCAGGCATGTAGTAGACCAGATCCAAATCCCCTGTCACAAACTTTGTAGGTACTTGGATTTTGCATCCCACCCATGGACCCAACAACTCATTGTTCCTGCCATTAGAGAACATTTCCTCAATTTACCTTATTATTAAAAAAAAAAACAGAGCATTTTCCATTGTAATAAGTATATATCATGTAGTAATTTAAAACAACAAAATCACTCGTTCCGTTCCGTCACCTCCTAATAGACCAACAACCTAAAGGGAACATAAAGCTATATAAAATTTACCGGTTAAAATTACGGTAGAAATTGACTCCACCAGAGAAGCCTCTCTCTTCAAACTTGGTAACGTAGTAAGCAACGTCTTCTTCCGATAACCAACAAGGTAAAGTTATAGAATCATCTTTAGATCCCCAGAAACTCTTGTCTTTAGGCAGAATAAGTGGTCCAGGAGTTCTATACGTAAGAACCTTCTTCACTGCTCTCTCAATCCCAACCTCTGATATCTCCGCTTCTATCTCTCCCTCTTCCTACATTTTCCAACCATCATATCAAACCAACCATTTCTACACAAACTAAAAGGAAGTTAAGTATAATTAACGAACCTGAAACCTACAAACGTAGTAATCGTCGCCGTAGAACATACGCATACCGTCCACAGGTTTCACGGAAGGATCAGTGGGACGGACAGAGAAAGGAACACTAAGGTTGACTAGGGCTTTGACTTTATCTGGTCGGAAAAGACAAAGATACCATGCAATGAGAGCTCCCCAGTCATGTCCGACCACAAACACTTTCTCTTCAGTTAAGGCGGATATTACTGCGACAAGGTCACCTACGATGTGGAAACATGTGTAGAAAGAGATCTCCGGTGGAGCATCGGAGTCACCGTAACCACGTAGGTCAGGAGCGACGGCTCGGTAGCCACGAGCGGCGAGTCCGGTGATCTGGTGACGCCATGAGTACCAGAGCTCAGGGAATCCATGGAGGAGGAGGACTATGGGACCATCGGAGGGGCCTTGGATTGCCACGTGGATGTCTATGCCGTTTCCTCTTATCTTTCGGTGCTCCATTTTTTTGTCTTTCCTTTTGTGTAGTGTTTGACAGTGTGACAATACCAATAGATAGCTTATAAGATAATTCCAAAATCTACCGACAAAAGAGAAGATCATTGAAAGACACACATTTTTATTTTGTGTTGCATTTTCATTATGTAATTCTAAAATGTTTACTTCTTATTTTCTTGCAAAATTTGATTCAGGTAATGGATCATGTTAGTTTGGTACCAAAATCAGTATTTTCATTTTTAATTCTGTTATATGTTAAATCAAAGATCTATTTCAAAAAATTTGAGTAATGTCGAATTTTGGAGTATTGTTGGATAATTTATTAATGTTTACAAATTTCCAAATTTAATTGACTTAAAACGGAAAACTTCATTGTTTTACATTTCTTATATAATTTTACTTTTTATGGTATCTAAAAAGTAAAAAGTAATAATGGGCGTTTAGTAGGCCCAGCCCAAGTATCTGCTATTCACCAATAAGCTCGTAAAAGAGATTAATTAACGATTCCTTCTTTTTTTTTAGATCTAATCCTAACGTTATTAGGAGTCTTTTCACCGAAACCCTTATTTTTGGTCGATTTGGGTTGGATTTTGGTAGAGGAGATCGGGGCGTGGGTTTCTTCGTCTCCGGTGTAATGATCATGACTTGGCTCGCCGGGAAACACGACCATGCTTTCCAAAAAACCAATAGTCGAGCTACACAACTACGCAAGGTATTATCATATGTGTTCGATTTAACAGTTGATGTTTTTGAAGTTACTTTTGGACCTTTTAAGACCGTTAAGAGAACCGTATACGTTTGTTTGTATTAGGGTCATATACAACTATTAGCCCTTTAAACCAATTAATAATCATCTTGAGCTTACTTTTATTTGTTTTGACATTGAATCAAATTTCGATAGCAATCCATAATGTAGTTTTATTGTTATTTTTCATAATTGTGTGTTCATTCATGATTCATAATTGTGTGTTCACCTCAAGATGCTTGAGATCCTTGAACGAAAGGAGAAAGTTTGCATGGATGAGGCTGCCATAAAATTTGAGGAAGCAATAGAATATTGTCGGGCAAATAACAGAGACGGTATGGCCAAATCTTTTGCTTCTTTTTATGACCACATTACTAAATTTAATTACAAAATGTGTGTTTTGTTGCGTGCATTGTCATGCAGGTGCTTTACATTGTTTAAAAATCAAGAGGAAACACAAGGGAGCAGCTCAACGTTATCGGAATTTACAACAGATTGTACATGAAAGAGTGAGATTTTCTTATTGCTCTTCTAAATCATTTATTTACTTTTGAGCGATAATATAAATTTATTAACACGTTTTCTTCTTTTAACAGTTGGTTTTGGTTGAAAGTGGAAGAAAATTAGAGACTGAAGCATACGATATGAAGATTTCACCACGCAGAAGACAACGCAAATTTTGGAATACTTTTGTTTGTCCCTTGTAATATTTACTTTTGTTTTGTATCTATATATCTAGCTCAAACTATTTATTACTCTAAAAGAAAGATTTTTTTTTTTTCATGAAATTTCAAATTTCGGTATCCTCTTCAATATGATTGGCTTTTCTTCTTATTCAACAATCGCATCACAAGATTTTTTTTTTTTTGTCATCTAAATGGTATATTATAATGAGAGAGTTCACAGACCAAACGAACTACAACGACAAAACATAAAACTCAAGGACACAAAGATACTTATAGAGAAATCTTTGTCCAAGAGATACAAACGACTAAAACGCAAAGCATAAAGCCCAAGGAAAAAAAATATTCATAGTGAAGTCTTTGCCCAAAGGATACAAAAGACTAAAACAAAAAAGAAAGATGATTTGATTAAAAATTAAAGCAAAGTCATCCCCCAAGCTCAAACTAGAGAGCCAAATGCACACCCACATTCAACGCCAAGGATTAAGAAGAAGCAAAATCTGAGCCAAAGAAACATAAGCATTAGAAGATTCTATCGTAAGAGTTTTTTATTTTAAATATAATACCTTTCGCTTTCTTTCTTTCAAAGACTAAATGTGAAAATATTGACAAAGTGTAGTTTGACATATATTGATATTTATGTTTTGTGAGCGTATCGATTCTATCCTTAAACAAATAAACAAAAAGTGTAGATTCTATCGTAGACGTTTTCAAAAATTTGACATGGTGACCATAAAATAACTTTCTCTTTTTTTTTTTTTGTCTTTTGGCAAAATTTTGCATGTTTTTGTATATGAGGTTCTAACCAATTTATTTATTATATATTTTGCATTATTATAATTTAAGAATTTTTTCAATAGATTTTAATTTTTTTCTTCTCTAATGGTAGAACACCATTAGAGATTCTTAATAATAAAAAAATATATGAAAA